CTGATGCTGTGTGCAACAATACTAAGGGATCGTACAACTGTACATGTAAATCAGGATACTATGGAGTTGGAAGTATCTGCCTTTTGGGTAACATTTCTCCTGCAGTGTTACGGTAGCTTTCTGTCATATATAAATATATATATATATATATATATATATATATGTATGTATGTATGCGTGCGTGTGCGCGCGCGCGCGCGCGTGTGTGTGTGTGTGTGTGTGTGAACATTACATATTCCCCATTCTGCGTGTAAATTTCCGCCTTGGAGAATTTCAAAACACCATCCGATCCTCTTTTCTTAAGAGGTTCATTGCTGTTGACATATCTTTTCTTTTTTTCAGCTTCGACATGCAAGGAAATTTTTGACCGGAATGTGTAAGTCAATCATTCTCTGACAAAAAGAGAGCCAGAGCAGAATACTAGTAGTAATACTGATAATTCTGAAATTAATCTTTCGTTAAGCATAGCAAACCTGAGAATAAACTTTCACAGTAGCTTTTCTCTTGATAGGAATCACCTAATCGAAAAGAAATTTGTGTCATTTACTGAGTTCATGGAAGCCATGGCTTTCGACAAGTTTGAACTGAATTTCTCCATTTAAGAAGATTCTTTATTTCATAGATCGGAAAAAAGTGGTGAGGTTACCCTGCACTTAGACTACAAGCCAATTTCTGTTTTCTGTTACATGACAGATTTTGGATGCGGAGATGGAGGATGGACGCCGATCGTGAGGATTAATGGCAATAAGGTAACAAGTTATCCCCCAAGAAATTCACTGTTGATTAAAGAAGGTGGGGAGAAGCGACAGGGGATGGGCGAAATCTACGGCTATTTTCCTGGAAAGCTTTAGGGGTCGTCGAAAGTCGCTTGCTTGTCTCCACTAAGTAGGAGCACGGAACAGGCTATTACTGATATCTTATTGAAAATAAAAATAAAAAATTTTCTTATTTTTCATAAATTTCAGAGCACATTTCATTACGATTCCCAGTTTTGGAGCAACAGAATTGCTTACAACCTTCCAGGAAGCAAGACTGGCTTTGACTCACAAGAGACGAAGCTACCGACCTACTGGAACACATCCTTCTCCAAGATCTGTCTCGGTATGAAGATCGATAATCAGCTCAGATTTATTGTCATCAATAAGCAAGCCAACTCACTTTACTCACTGATCGCTGACGGTCAATACCGGCACACCACACTGGGCCCTGGCACGTGGAAGACGCTGGTTGGTTCACAGGCCTCATTGCAGCCTCACTGCAATAAGGAAGGATTCAATGCAGTAGGAGACAACACTTATCAATCCAAAGCAAGAATCGGCATCACCGCTAACCAGCAGAATGACTGTTCCTCCTGTGATTCCCGAATTGGTTTTGGCACAGGAGGTCGACATGATGATTCCAACACGTGTGGAAATGAGGCAACGCGCTCGCCAGATAATGGAAACAAGCACATCAAAGCCATGGGGTACATTCTGGTACAGTGATAAGGGACACAATTAACTTCCCAAACTTTAAGCCGAAAAGCCATCATGAAGTAGAATTTCTTCTGTTTAAATTGAACGTATACTAGCGAGTTTGAAATCATAAACGTCTTAATTGAAGAGAGTATTGTTCCTTTATCTCTGGAAATTATTATTATTATCATCACTTTTATTATTATTATTACTGTTATATGCTATATGATATGTTATTGCAATTAACATATCCACGCAAGGCCAGAAGCATCTGGGCGCTGTCTTAGGCTTTAGAACCTACCTGGAGGAGAACGTGAACGGAAAAAACTAGGAATGGGTCGATCAAATTGTCAAGCTGGTAGAATTTACTGCGATGTATCCACAGGCTATATACGCAGCCTTCACATTCGGGTTGAAACATGGTGAGCTTCCTATCTTCCTTCTTCTATCTTCGAACATTATCCGATATTGAAGATCTTCCAATGCTGCTAGAGCGTGCCTATTCCTGTTATCACAGAGCACACCTGCACGGTAGTTGAGTGTGATTTGTTACCATTACCTGTAAGGATGGGTTGTCTTGGGATCACAAACCTATGTCATATTGCAGCCTCGGAATACGAAGCTTCAATTGCGATAACTGAACCACTAGTCAGACAGAGAGCGACGCAGACGCACGAGCTCCCGGACGATGACGCAACTAGAGCGCTACAGCAATGTAAAGGTAGAGATAAAGATGCGCGCCATAGAGAAGACCTAGAGGAAGTGAAGAATGCCTTTCCTGAAAAAAACCAAGAGAGCTACCGACCTTGCTGCGGAGAAAGGGGCATCTAGCTGTCTAGGTGGCTTACAATTACCCTTTCAAAGACGCCATTCATCTGAGATATGATTGGCAAATGAGCGACACCCCGTCTACTTGTGAGTGTGGAGATTTCTTTGGTGTAGATCACGCCATGGTATGCAGACATGGAGGCTTCATCTTTCAAAGACATGACGGACTGCGTGATTTAGAAGCCGAAATGCTAAATAAGGTTTGCAATGACGTCCAAATTGAACCGGTACTTCAGGAGATAAGCGGAGAAGAGCTAACACCTAGTGCGAACAAAGCAGCGGATGCACGGCTCCACATTCGTGCTCGTGGCTTCTGGGAGCGGCAAGGCTCTGCCTTTTTAGATGTTAGGGTGTGTTAGAAGTAAATATAAACGAAGCGTGCATCCATTAGTTTTTCTAAGATTTTTATTAGACATTTTAATGTATTTCTCAGCTTTTTAAGGATTTTATCATAAT